CCCCGCGCCCCACGCCCAGGTGCCCGGGAAGCGGCCGCCGCCGCTCCAGGAAGTGCCGCCAGCCGCGGCCGCAGGACCCCGCATAGCTGGCCGGGCCGTTGCCTGCCGGCCGCCGAGCACGCCCCCTCGGCCGGCGGCGGCACCCTGCCCACAGCGCCCTCTGCCGGCCGCGGCCCGCCAGGCGTCGGGGCGGAGTCTCGGGTGGGCGGGGAGAGCGAGGCCCCGCCCCAGGCCGCGCCGGCCCGCCAGGACCGAACAGGTTTCCTGGTGTGACGCTTGCTGCGAGCACCCAGATGCAGCCTCGTCCTCCCCTTACCCTTACCCACGAACAACCTGTGTGCTCACAAGTGTACACCCGCGAGGGCGGCTGTCACTACCTCCTCTCCCCCCTCCGCAAGGGATCTACTGCTTTCTCACACGCCTGCGCCCACGCAGCCACCCGGCCAATCTCCACCGTGCTCTCCTGCTCTCCCGGCTCCCACCCACGGAGGAAGGTCGCACTGGGTTCCCCCCACACACACAGGCGCACATGTCCCACCTGGCCTCCAGCAGTCAGCGACCAAAGTCACTTATGGCCCTCACACACACCCACCAAGAAGTGACACGTTTCTCAAAGTCATCTTCATTCCTGACACGTGGGCGTTTCCTGGCGCACTGTCCAAGGGCACCTCTCGATCTCATGCTAGAGGAATTAATGACCTGAACACCTCTTACACAAATACACTTTTTTTTTTGAGACAGGATCTTACTATGGAGCCCAGGCTGACCTAGAACTGGAGGCGATCCTTCTGCCCCAGTCCCGCCAGTGCTGGGATTGCAGGCGTGCACCACCTTCAAATACACACTCATAAGGACAAGTCACAGGGCACACACACATCCACATACCAAGCCACATAGGACAAGTACACTGTCTCCTACACATAGTAGCCCCTGGGCCAGGGTTACAGGGCCCCACCCCTTACACACACACACACACACACACATACACACACTCACCCAGAGATGTACCTCATATGCACACCCAAACACCCTCCCAAAGGCAGCAGAGGTTGTCCCCCTCCAGAGATGAGAGCAATTGGAACCAGAACCATCGCCTGTGAGGACATGGCCACCGCATACACTTGGGAATCCACAGCCCAGTACCTTGAGAACCCCTCCAAGCTGACAGGGCCAGGAAGCTGGGGACCATGGTCTCCTCCTCCCCAAACCCTGCCACTTTGATGCCCAGCCTGCTGCCTGGTGTTTCAGTTTGCACTGCATTCTGCAAAGCCACATCCTATCACCTTCACTTTCACCCTCTTGGTTCTGGCAGCCCATTTTCCAGCCTGGGTCAGCCACAGAGAGCCTAGGCTGCTATCAGGGGACAAGGGACCGGCCGGCAAGCCTGTGATTGAGAGATCCCAGCATCCAGAGGCCCGGCACCGCTTGGAACGCCCTTCCAGTCTCCTGTGGGCCAGGACATGGGCTGAGTGTCGAGGAGGGGCCCCCAGCCTTTCAGCCAGCAGCTGAGGCCAGGCTGGTTGGAGGAGGGCAGAGGCATCCTAAGGGCCTGACCCCGGCCTCCGGAGTAAGCGGTTCCGCTGGGGAGGTTTCCCAATGGCTCCCATGCCAGATCGGAGGGAAGAGCCCAGAAGCTGCTGAAGCGACCTTGCACTGGTTTGGAAACTGTCAGCTTGAACGCCACTCTCTTTGGAGTGGGGGTCCCGTCCCCAGACCCCCCTTCTGTCAGTGAGCCCCACCCACCACCACACTCTCCGTATCAGAGTGCCCTTCGCCCTGCCAGGAACCCCCCTGTACCCCCGGGCCTGCACAGAGTTGCTACATAACGGACCCGCGAGCTTCACTTCTGTCCCCTCCACACACACCCAAGGTTCAGGTCTGCAGTGGGACGAGGTCCCCATACCCAGCCCCAGGACACCCTTGTACCTACTGTGTCTGGGGAGCCTCGGCTGGGATCTGTGGCACGTCCCAGGAGCGGTAGCGCCACATCTGCCTCAGTGGCCCTGGCAGCTCCCGTGCTTCTGTCCCGGGCACCTCTGCGGGGCCCAGAGCTGCGGCTGCATCGCGGTCTCCCCCCGCACTGCCGCCGGCCCCCAGTGCGCTCATCCTGCCCAGCGACTCTCTTCCTCTTTCGGCACTTCCTGACCCGGAGTGGGGGGGGGGCCCTGCTAGAGGCCGGCCAGTGGCCCAAACAGGGGACGGGGGGCTCGGAGGCGCCTTCCGTTGGCTGGGTCAGGAGGCGGGGGGGGGGCAGGAGCTATGTGGGAGGGCAAGGAGCAGGTGGGGACAAGCCTAGCCCAGCCTCCAGGAGACAGCCCGAGTCAGAGGCTGCCAGGCAGCCACTGGGCCTGTCTGGGCTGGGCCCCGCACTGGGCTCAGTCTGGCTTTCCTCTGCACTTAACCTCTCCCATTTTCTTTTCTTTTTCTTTCCTTTTTTTTGAGACAGGGTCCCACTGTGTAGCCCAGGTTGGCCTTGAACTCAGAGCACTCCTCCTGCCTCAGCCTCCCGAGTGCTGGGATCACAGGTGTTGGCCACCACTCCCAGCAAGCTTTCTGCTTTTCACCTCCTGGTCCCTCTGAGACCCTTGCTGCATTGACAATCCCCCATACTGGCTGGGGATGTCCTCAGACACGCAACTGTCTCTCCTTAGCACCTCTGCGTGCGTCACACCATCCAACATAGGGTCGGGTACACAGGACAGTGGTGTTGGGAAAAGAAACAGGATGGAGTCCAAAGGTGGGAGTTCACGTCCTTTTTCTCATTTCCCAGCTGTGCGGCCCGGGTCAGGTCATAAACCTCTCTGAGTCACCTTACATTGTTTCTGGAATAAGGTAAGGTAAAAACACGCACAGCGGTGAATACCTGTGTCAGGGGGCTTTCTGTGCTTCCGTTTTCTCATCCATAAAATGGAACAATAATGCAAATTTATGAAAGTGTACATAGATGAAATAAGAGGTGTGGGCCGGATGTGGTGGTGCACACCTGCCATCCCAGCCCTCGGGAGACTGAGACAGAAGGATCTCAGAGAGTTCAAGACCAGCCTGGGCTACATCATGAGAACCTGTCTTTAAAAAAAAAAGGCAAAAGGAGTTACAAGTTAGTATATTTAATACTCATTCCCTGGGCCCCATCCCAGCACTGCAAATAAATAAATAAATAACTATCTCCCATAAGCATTTGATGGGAGACACACACACACACACACACACGCATACATGCACACACAAATAAAATACTCATTGAGTTCAAGGCCAACCTGGGCAGCTTAGTGAGAGCTTGTCTCAAAATAAAATAAAAAGGGCCTGGATGTAGGTGGGTATTGGAGAGCGTGCCCAGCCAAATGTGGAGGGTTAGGGAAAGAGTCGGGGAGTCTGGGAGGGTCTAAGGAGGAGACATTTGAGAACAGGTCTCGATGAATCAAGAGTCAAGGTGAGCCAGGAGGGTACAGGATGCTGCCCAGCAGTAGAGGCCAGCGAGACCACAGAACAGGAGCAGCGCAATGTGACAAGAGGTGGCCGGATTTTGCTGGTGAGGTCCCCGTGGGCACCAGGCGCAAGGTGCATTCTCCCTCTATCCCTGGGTTGGTCTGGCAGGACAGCATCCTGTCCCTAATCACACTGCTCTAGAGTGGGCTCTTTGCTTGCGTGTGGGTTTGGCACTCCAGGGAGGGCAAAGTCAGCTGAGTTTCACCCACATTTATGCTACAGAACCTGCGGGCACAGGGTGTACTCGGTGCCCTCCTCCGACCCTTGGAAGCCTCCATCTGCTGCAGAATCACCTTTGTGAACCATGTGACTGGAACAGAGTGCTTCTCAGTAGCTTGTTTCATAAATGCATGCTGTGTGATGAATAATTAATACTCAGTCACAATAAACAATACTTAATATTTCTTAGATACTTCTGTACCAGCTCTTTACTGAATGCATAATTAGCTCATCAAACCCTTCAGTAACCCCAGGAGGTAGAGGTTGTTATTTTCCTTCTTTTACACGGGGAAACTGAGGCATGAAGCTGCTAAGCTTTCTAGTTTTGTGTGTGCATGTGGTGCTAGGAATTGAACTCAGGGTCTTGGGCATGCTAGGCAAGGCTGCTGCTACTGAGCTTCACTTCCAGCTCTGGAATTGAGAATCTGTTTTTGTTTGTTTCTTTCTTCTTTTTTTTGGTACCAGGGATCGAACTCAGGACCTTTCGGTTGTGAGGCAGGCAGTGGAACCACTGAGCAAAATCCCTGGCCCTGTTTCGTTTTTTGAGACAGGGTCTCAATCTGCAGTTCGGTCTGGCTTTGAACTCTCTATGTAGTCCAGGCTGACCTTCAATTTGTGGCGATCCTCCTGCCTCAGCCTCCCAAGTGCTGAAATTATAGGCCTGTGCCACCACACCCGGCTGGAATTAATAGGCCCGTAATCCCAGCAGTGGGAGACTGAGGCAGGATTGGAGTTTAGCTGGGGCAATTTAGTGACTTTAACTCTGTCTCAAAAGAAAAAAAATTTAAAAAGGATGTGGGCTGCAGCTCGGCGCATCAGGCCTAGAACCTCTTTCCTTCCACCCATCATCTCTCGCATCCCTCGAGGTGGGAGCTGTGCGCTGTGGCCCCCAGACTCTCTCCGCAGCCAGGCCAAGGTTGGCTCGGGAAGGAGGTGGTGGCAGCGCCCGGCCTTCCTCTCCCAGGCTTCTCCAGAAGCTCAGCAGAGGAAGTGGGGCTGGGCTTGTTTTCCATCCGAGGCTCTGGTAGTCTTGAGCCACACAGGGGAGGAAATGGGCTCCTGCAGGGGAAGCCAGGCGGGCGGGAGGCTTGGAGACAGAGCTGCTGGGCC